GAAATCTTTTGACCACGAGTATGAGGAGTTTCTTCTGCACTCTCAGTTCCAGCCCAGTTGTCTATGTGTGTCCTTACGTTAGTTCCACATTGTCCTGATCACCACAGCTTTGTAGTAAGTTTTGAAATCGAGAAGTGTGAGTCTTTCAACCTTGTTCTTTTTCAAAATTGTTTTGGCTATTCTATATTCCTTGAATAACCATATGAATTTTAGAAGGAGTTTGTTAAATTTTGCAACAAAATAAAACAGAACAGCTGGAGAGGTCAGAAATGGTCAGATTTTGGCAAGATTCAGAAAATAACGTTGGCAGGACCTGGGATCTTAAGGCAGGTTCTGGGTTAAGGAGATGAAGGCTGAAAAGGGTCTTGTGAGAAGCAGACACAGTGGGCAGAGAGGCCATCACAGAGGAGAGGGCTTCTGGCGTCTGGTGGCAGGTGGCCATGTGGCACAAGAAAAGCCTGCACAGATGATGGAGGAGATAATGGGCTGAGTGTTATACCGCAGGAGGGGCACATAGTGCAGCACATAGTGGACCTCATGTGCCGTGTGGATGTGATGCAGTTGCTGTTTGGATGCAGAATGAGGTGGGGCTGCTGTAGTGAGGGGTGCAGAATGGCATGGATGTATCAGGCTTCCTCAGAGATGGTTGTGGAGGTATGCAAACAGAGTGGTAGCCGCAGGACTGTGGGGGGCAAGAAAGACTGTTTTTTAAACAGCAGTCTTGAACTGCTTCAAGCTTGTTGAAGAGTTGAAAAGAGTGGTTAAATATTTCAGAGGATGTGGTAATGTTGGGACTCCTGGTACCTTTCATTTGGTAGTGGGAGGAGGGCTCATAAAATCCATGTGCAAGGTTAGCGTGACTCCATCTCCCCATGTGGGGATGGAGGAGGGCTGAGGGTTGAGGCCTGAGTCCCAGATATGGCTTCGGTGTGGGAAAGCTGAGGTGTAGGCTCTCCTGGTGCCACCTCTTCCCCTCTTTGCATGCTGGGGGCAGAAGGGAGCAGCCTCTGGGCCAGAGGCCTCAGTGGTCACCAGAGCCACGACACCTGTGGAGACACTGGGCTGACGCTCCACACTCACCACTAGGTCCTCACTTAGCCTTCCTAGCATTTGTTTTTTTAGGGGTAGGGAGGTTTTCACAGTAGAAGCCAGAACTGACCACCACAGGGATGCCCTGTTTGAGGGGTATCATACCATCAGGGTAGGTTGCCTCAGGCCAATTCGAGCAACCCAGGAGGCATCATGGCAGATGTAGCCTCAGTGGGGTCCTCCATGGGGCTGTGCATGGGGACCAGTCCTGGCACCAGTGTGAGGAGGAAGTGGGTGCTGCCGTGGGCCAGGCTGAGTGAGAGCAGAGGGCAGCCTGGAGGGCCTGGCCTGGGATCCAGCTCCAGGCCTGTGTGCTATGTTCCATGCAGAGTTAACGTGCAGGGCCTGGCTCAGATTGTCTTGGGTTTACAGCACTGCTGCCTTTTTTAGGAAGGGATAGGCCAGGCTGCATTTGTCTGTGAGCATTTCCCGGGCCTCTGCTGGCATCTGGCCCAGAGAAGGGGGAGTCCCTTTCCAATGGACCCATGAACAGCCTTCCCAGCTGAGCAGGCCCTGTCTGTTCTGTTGAGTTTTTCTGCCTGCATAGTCTTGTGACTATGAGTCTGGGGCCATTCGGGGGCAACACAGCCTGTAGGACTCAGGGTAGAGATGCCAGTTCCCTAAAGGGAGGTCACAGTTAGTGCCACCCTCCAGTCCTAAGTGGCCTGTTATCTGAGAGACTGTTCAGGATGTGGTGGCCTCTATGCTTGGTCTCCAGTCTGCATTAGTGACCAGGGATTCAGATTACCTCAGAGACTTAGGCATCCTAAAGGAAGGGTCTGCCTTGGTAAAAGCCTCCCCCCTGCACTTTAGATTCTTGTTAAGAAAGACAGTGTTGACCATAAGGCAGTGATTCCCCCAGGCATTCACTGAAGGCTCTTTCCATCCAGGCCTCTTAGCCTCCACATAGTTCTTTCCCTTCTACCTTGCATGGCACAGTGCAGTGTCCATAGAGCAGCCTTGCTTGTGGAAGGGGCTGCCGTGTGGAGCCCTACAATTCTGTGCAGTTTTACTTTCATCTGTGACCTTGCACATCTTGGGTGCACAGGGGCTTGATTTGCTGCCTGGGGAGAGGTGTATGCCATATCCAGACAGGAGGATCTTGTCTGGGGTGGAGCATGGTAAGTCCACGTGGCAAGTCCCAGTGGGAGACCAGGAGGGCCAAAGGAGAAGACGTGGCACACCTCACTGGACTTCTGCTAATAACTGTTGTTTGCTGGCAAGAAATTCCCCAGAAAAAGGAGGCAGAATCATGTTGTGGTTGAGCTGGGTACATGTGAATGTGGTTCTGAGCATGAGTGTGTGCTTTGACCAATGTATGCTGCATGTCCCAGGAGTGGTGCGAGGTCCTCACCAGCACACAGGAGCCAGTCTGCTCCCCTGCTCAGACACTCAGTGGCTTTGCTGCTTGTTGTGGTGGGGTGGAAGTGGCTCTCTGGAGGGGCACGTGATCCTAATACTTTGCCTGAGCAAATGAAGGACATCAGGGCTGCCAAGCCCCAAGTTGTGAGTGATGTGAGTGATGGAAAATTCCAGGCGGCTTCATTTTCACACTCTCTGCAGTGGGTGGGGGGCAAAGTCCCAGCATTTCTCCCATCAGACAGAAAACTGGAGATCTCTTTGTGGGGATACTTTTGTAGCTCATACCTACTTGGCGTCTATGAGCAGAACTCAGCAGACTCGGAGTTGTGCTCAGGAAGCTTCTCTGGAGTATCTCACCACAGAGCAAGACCTGTATCCTTCCCTTCAGCTATCGTGGACGTGCTCCAGGTGCCCTGCACAGGAAGTTCTGCTAGAGTCTTGCAAATCAGCCCAGTGTATAGGTTTATGTCTGCTGTCCTGTGTGGATACTCAGAAATTGAGTCCTGTGCCCTAGGGGACCTGTCTCTCAGCTTCCACTGTCACCACAGAGGATACATGAAGTCCCCATCTTCTGTCATCAGGCAGGAAGCTCCATGACCAGCCCTTCCCAGCCTTCCAACGTGCTTATCCTCCTTGTCCTCCAAACCTCTTCTCCTGTGCTGGGTCTTCCTCTTAACCCCCTCAAGGTGTTGGCTACATCTGCCTGGTAAGGTCAGTGCCCTGGGGGGTCACTAAATGGTGCCCTTTATCCCTGCCATAGGGTTAAGGATCTGGTTACCTAATGGGCAGGGTTGTCCTGTGTAGAGGCACCTCACTCTGGCTCAGTGCTGACGACCAGTGACAGATGGGACCCAGAGGGCCCAAATGTCTTGGGTTGTGGGGAAAAACCCACAGTCCATGTCTCACTAGTCAAAGTTGGAGCATGTGCTTAAAGCCCTGTTATTACAGCAGGGCTATGGTTGGTGACTCTTAGCACATAGTAGGTGCCAAGGCCTAGTGGCCACCTTTTCCTTTGACACTTTCTTTGCATTTTCCATATACTCTGGAAGGTAATCCAGGCCCTTTAATGGCCTGGAGTCATTTCCAGATAACAAGAGTGTGCTATGGCCAGAGCCACAGGGCTGCCCAGGGCCAGGAGTGGTGGAATTCTTGAGAAAAATAGCATTTGGGGAAGTACATAAAAAATGTGAGGAAAAGGAAAATGAGGGATATACCAGTGTGCTTGGCCTGGTTTCAGCAGAATCCAAACTCATTTCCAAGGAGAAACTGAAAGCAGAGTACAGAAATATTCATTTCCTGTTTTTATTGTTGGTTATTTAATGACCTTCCTTTGAAATGCTGCTGCAGTTGTAGAAGGCAGGTTGCCATGGAAACAGAGTGACAGCAGGGAATAGGTACACAATGCATTTCTTTGTCATGTCCAGCTGATGCATTCAGCCTCTGCTTAGACATGTGAATCTATGTAAGGAATTAAATATTAACTGGAGGCATCACCCAAAAGAGGCAGCAACACTGGCAAGAAAAGATGCTGAAAAGGAGGGCAAAGGACACTGGTGGGGCCCAGGGCTCCAGTGGGATGCAAAGCCTATTGGGTCCTTGGTGGGCGGGGGTGGGGGGGTGAGGGGGTGGGGTCACTTCCTTCCATCAGCGGGTTCCAGAGAAGTTGTGCAAAGCAATTGCCTGCCTGCCTGCCTGTTTTCTTCCCTTCCTTCCTTCCTTCCTTCCTTCCTTCCTTCCTTCCTTCCTTCCTTCCTTCCTTCCTTCCTTCCTTCCCTCCCTCCCTCCCTTCGTCCCTCCTTTCCTCCCTCTCTCTCTTTCTTTCTTTCTGCAAATGGATCTGTGCTGTGCATTCTTTTGTGGTCAGTGAAGGATCTGGTTGTAATATGAATCGTTACTTATTAGCTCATTTTCAAAGTTGGAATTTGAATGCTATGTTTTCTCGAGGTGGAGGTAGGGCTCACCTGATGTGTGTGGCACCCCTGGGAGGAATAGCCCTGTTGGAGGGGACCAGCCTCCCTCAAGGCACAAGGCAGCACCAGCCCTGTGGTGAGGAAGAGAACAGGTGCTGGAGAAGCCCAAGTCAGAAAAGCGTTTTCTCTTGTCCCTGGAAGAGCCAGGGGTCATGATCTTGTCCATTTTTCTGGTTGCTCCATAAAGGAGAGGCTGTATAAATGCCTTGTGAAAATGGCCCCAGTGCCTTATTTCTCCCCTGAGCCAGCATGTCTGGCTGTCATCAGCCTCCCCTTTTCATTTTTTTGAGACAGAGTCTCATTATATCACCCTCGGTAGAATGCTGTGGCGTCATAGCTCATAGCAGCCTCAAACTCTTGGGCTTAAGCAATTCTCTTGCCTCAGCCTCCCAAGTAGCTGGGACTACAGGCGCCCGCCACAACACCCAGCTATTTGTTTGTTTCAATTGTCATTGTTGTTTAGCAGGCCTGGGGCTGGGCTCGAACCCGCCAGCCTTGGTAGGTGGCTGGCGCCCTACTCACTGAGCTGCGGGAGCTTCCCCTTTTCTGACCCTGTATCTTTTTAAATTCTCAGAAAATGAGTTCCGGGGTGAGCTGCTAAACCAGAGGTGGACACACGGAAGCAAGGCCAGCAGCTGTAGGACCTCAAGACACCTCCTAGGCAGACACAGCAAGGTGAGGCACTCGGAGGTGGCCTGTACTGAACACACACAGGCTGCCTGTGCAAAGCTTCTTCTTGGTTCCCAGGCATGAAGCACAAAGTGAGGAGGTGACTTTTGGTCTAATCATCATCAAAGATTAGATTAGGTGAAGGATAAATGGAGATTAGATCATCAATGATCTAGTCACTTTAAAATTAAAGGAAGAGGCTGGATGCATTGGCTCACACCTGTAATCACAGTGCTTTGGGAGGCTTGCTTGAGGCCAGGAGTTCAAGACCAGTCTGAGCAACATAGTGAGACCCAGTCTCTACAAAAAATAGAAAAATTAATTGGGTGTCATGACACGCCTGTAGTCCCAACTACTTGGGAGGCTGAGGTAGAAGGATCTCTTAAGCCCAGGTGCTGGAGGCTGCAGTGAGCTGTGATGCTGCTGCTGTACCCCAGCCTAGGCTATAGAGCAAGACCCTGTCTAAAAAGAAATAAATACAATGAAGAAGAAAAATGATTCTGAGTACATTCAAACTAAGACTGCAGATCTCACCTTCCAGCCAATTTCCTGCTTTTGAAGTATGATCACACCTTTGCTTCTGAATGTGCATCAACAACCTGTTCTTTGTTAACCCTATTTTACCTGGGCAGGCTGAGTCCTTTTGGGCCTCAATGCAGGCTTTGCTGCAGGAACACATCATGAGGTCAGTTTGCCTTGTTTCTTTTCTTTTCTTTTCTTTTTGAGACAGAGCCTCAAGCTGTTGCCCTGGGTAGAGTGCCATGGCATCATAGCTCACAACAACCTCCAACTCCTGGGCTTAAGCAATTTGCTTGTCTCAGCCTCCCAAGTAGCTGGGACTATAGGTGCCTCCCACAATGCCTGGCTATTTTTTGGTTGTAGTTGTTATTGTTGTTTGGCAGGCCCGGGGTGAATTCGAACCCTCCAGATTTGGTGTATGTGGCTGGCGCCTTAGCTGGTTGAACTACAGGGGCCAAACCTGTTGTCCTTGTTTCCCTGTGATGTTCCTGAGTGGAGGCAGATAGTGCCTGCCTTCTCTATCTGCCCAGAACCCAGGATGGAGGAGATCAGCTCCCTGCCTCCCCAGGGATACTCCCTCACCCTGGGGCATCACACAAGCTCACAACCTCTACTACCCACCTATTCCTCTACCACCCACCCTGGAACTCCCTCCAACAAGCTGGGCCAGGTTCCTCAGGAGTAGAAGTGGAGGCTGACAACAGGCTTGGGGGCATCCTTTCTCAGATAGGGCTCTGACCCTCATCTTCTTGGCATAAAAGTGGTTTCCAGCAAGGATCCAGCTGATACCCAGGTCATGGCCACCAAGACAGTCGTGGCCCAGGGTGGAATGCAAGTTCTCTCCCAGTTGAGGAGAGAACTTGCATTTTACTTCCCAAACCTAACATTTTTCTTTTGAATCAGGAGTTAAAAATATATGTGTGGTGGTTTTTGGCTCATGAAGGGTCATCAGAGCTCTGCTGAACCGAGGTGGAGCCTGAGAAGGCCCAAGGAAAGCCAGTAATACTGACGCTGTCTTTACTTAAAGTTTTGGTATTTTGTTTATCCTGGACTTTTTGCATTAGTCTTGATATTTTAAAAATACTGAATTAAAATGTCATTTATGTTGGTCATTGGGTTTTTGGCCTCACCCTGTCTCACGCCTGAGAACTCATGCAGTACTGCCTGGCATGAAACCACATGACCAGGGGTTCTAAGTGAAGTGGTGCCTGCCCTTATCCAGTGCAAGTCTGTCTCCCCGTGGTCAAGGTGTGACAAGCTCAGAGGGTTTAGAAGCTGCCATGGACAAGGTATGATTGTCCATAATGCACCACCGGCTATGAATAGCCTGTGGTACCTGCTTGGGTTCTTCTGGCACCACCAGCTGTTCATTGATGCTCTGTTTGAGAATCATTTTCCTCTATTTTGGGCACAGAGGGCTTGAGTTGCTGCTCTGTGCAGCAGAGAAGCTAAGAGGAAGAGGAAGAGTGGGGCAGAGAAGGGGAGGATGTCAATTTCCCAGAAGGCTCTGGGGTTGGTGCAGGTGATTTCTGAGGAGGTGACAGCATGGAGCTAAGTGGTGGCCAAGTGCATCCCACAGCCACAGAAGCATCAGAATCAACCTTTTGGGGGCTGACCAAAGACAGCAGGTGGGTGAAGCAAGGAACCAGCACAGGAGAGCAACCTGCCATGTGCCTGAGTTCAGCACTGGGCATGTGGACAGCTCAGAACTGAAGAGGTAGCCAGATTAAAAGGTAGGTAGTAGTATGTTAGGGGGAGTGCAGGCTTTCCTGGCACAAAAAAGCACCACTATGGGCTCCAAATTGCATAAATCCAGTGGATGACTATAGAATTATGAAGTCAAGGAGAAGGGTGATTGCATGGGCATTTAGTCAGTACTTTTTTCTGCCACGTGGGAGGAGCCTCTGGCAAGTAAGACTGGGTGTGTCCCTTCTGGCCTGCCTCACTTAATGTTGCTGGATGTTACCTTGGGTGGGTAGAAATTCTGTTAATGCTGATTTTTTTAACAGGTGGGTGCATATATGCCTGCTTCATCAAGGTATTATAGCTACATCAATGCCTGTCCATTATGTAGCTATAATTTGGGGGCTGGAGTAAGCCAGAATCCCATGATTAGAGTAGTCAGGAGAATCTCTCCTAAGACATGTTAAATAATCTCCCATGGGGGGCGGCACCTGTGGCTTAAAGGAGTAGGGCATTGGCCCCATATACTGGAGGCAACGGGTTCAAACTCAGCCCTGGCCAAAAACTGCAAAATAATAATAATAATGATTCCCCATAGGGATGTCCTTTCTCTACCCCAAGGAGGAGGCAGATCTATACAGCTGCAAGCAGATTAAACCATGGAGTCTCAGGAGAATTTCAGACATGTATCATATATCCTCCAAAGGGGAGGACAGAGCTGTGACTGCAAGGAACCAGGGAGTGCTGCAATGCTATTTTTGGGGTGGGCAGGGTGAGGACATGTAGATTGGCCTCAAAGATCCAGAGAATGGAAAACAGGATGCCTGTTGGGTCTTCTGAGGTAGCAGGCTTTCCACATCTGCTCTGTGGGCTGCGCTGGGACGCAGGAGCATGTTTGAGAGAAGGGAAAGGGGGGCTGGACGCCGTGGCTCATGCCTGTAATCCAGGCTGAGACAGGAGGATCACTTGAGTTCAGGAGTTTGAGACCAGGCTGAGCAAAGTAAGACCCCATCTCTACTAAAAATAGAAAAATTAGGTAGGCATTGTGGCAGGTGCCTGTAGTCCCAGCAACTTGGGAGGCTGAGGCCAGAGGATCATTTTGCCTAGCAGTTTGAAGGCACTCTATCCATGGCGACAGAGTGAGAATCACTCCCTCTCTAAAAAAAAAAAAAGAAAGAAAGAAAGAAAGAAGAAGAGGAGGAGGAGGAGGAAGAAGAAATAGAAGAAAGAGAAGGGGGAGGCCATGTAGGCAGGCAGCAAATGATGCCATTAGAATGAGAGGGCAAGGCAGCACTTGAAGGCTGCTTTTTAGTTGCTGAGTGGAGCCCCTCCCCAGTCCCACCATCCACTGTGCTGCTCCCTCCCACACAAGTGTGCTGCTCCCAGGCCACACTGTGGCTCTCTTTCTTCTGGACAGGGGCTACCTGTGGTCCCCTAGGGTCAGTGGATGCTCCCATCCCTTTCAAGATCTCTGGGAGACCTCTTTAGGAAGAGGCTCCATCCTCCCACAGGGATGCTGACCTGTATAATCTGTTTTGCTCCCAGTTAACACATGTTAAATAAAGTAAGACACTAATATGCCTCCCCTCCTAGCCCAGGGCTGAGGCTAGTGGCCCCTCAGTATCAGGAACCCAATACCTCCAACTAGAGGCTCCCACATGCTGTCCCTGTGCCATTCCCCTCTGGCTGCTCCTCTACACCCACCTAGTTCCAGAGATGTTTCAAACCACCCCACCATTCATTCATTCATTCATTCATTCTTCCACCTGTCCATCTACCCATTCTCTCTGTGCAAGACCAGTGGTCTTGCAGCCATGAATAATTGAGCTCATTTCAGATTAATGTGAGGACCCTGAGGGAGAAGAGGTAGAGAGCAGATAAGTGAGTGGGAAAGAGGTGGTGCTGCCACCCAGGGATGCTCCCAGCCCATCTGAGTTTCTCCCTCCTGCACATCCTCCCTACCTCCACTTGGCCCTCAAGCCTCAGCAGCTCCCTCACCCTGAGCATCCCTTACCTCCCTGGAGTGATGCATAAACCTTGGGGATGCCAAGGCTGGTGCCTCCAGGGCAAGGACACCTAATAGGGTTTCCTTCTGGATTCTGTCCTTGGGGTTGCCCTTGGCCATCACTACAGAAAGGAAGGGGTGTGTTGTGAGTTGGAGGGGGGAGCTCTTCAGCCCTGAAGGCCCTGGAGAAAGCAGGAAAAAAGAGTGAAAGAGGGAGAGAGACAGAGAGACAGAGACAGAGGGAGGCAGAGACATAGAGAGAGACAGAGGCAGAGATAGAGACAGAGAGATATGAAAAGAGAGGATGAGTGAGCAAGGAGGAAGAGGGGCACCCACTATGGATATCCCTGAGCTTGGGTTGGGGGATTGAAATATTAATTAGAGCTGTAAGACATGTTCTCAGTGGCAGAATGAAGTTGGCATCAGAGAAACAGAGCAGACATGGCTCTTGAGGTTGCTGGCCTGGTGATAAGAGTGGGGTGAGGTTGGCCTGTTTCAACAAAAGGGCCTTTTCACCCTCAAGGGGAGGGGACTTTGAATTATTTGTGAGATGTACAAAAACAGGGACTTAGTTGGTTTATGCTTGGAACAAGTAAATGGTTTTCTAAAAAATCAACAAGAAATCGAGAAGTGTCTCATTATCTTTGTACCACTGAGCTGTCTTTTTAGGCACACCTGCCATAGGGGTGCAGGCAGCAGACCTGGGGCTGTGGCCTGTGATCAGCTAGGGTGAGCCTGGAGGCTGCTGGTCATTTGCCATATAGGGTCACTGATGCTGAGGCAGGAGGACAGCAAAGAACCCACCTCTGTAGTACTTTTAGCTCTTCTGAAAAGGATGATGTTAATCACATGATGCTGGTTTTATAAGTTTTGCTTAGGTGCTCTCATGTCAGCCTGCACTGCTCATCCCAAACAGCCTAGAAATCAGTTTCTCTGCTTCATTGTTGATGTCCCAAGTCATCCGGCTCTTACAAACTCATTCTCATATTAAAGAGCCTGGTTTTCCTCCTTTAGTTCAATTTTCCCCCCCTTTTAATATCAAAGCTCCATGCACCAAAGAGAACTTCTTGCTCATTGACCATTGATGCAGATAAATTGAGAATGGAAAGGTGCTCAGCAAAGTGGATGCTGCAGCTGTGAGCTTCATCAATGGGCACTCACAGTTTGCAAGCAGTGCCCATTATATATCCCTGCAACCCTCTCTATTCTCTGCTCTTTGAATAATTTATCTGCAGGAAATCCAAATTGCCAAGGCATGCTTTAACCTAGCAGAAGGCTTGCCAATTTCCTTGGGAAAACTGACACACATAAAAAAGCTGTAGATTGCATTTCGGCTGAATGTAGGCACCCAGCAATCAGACACATCAGCCCCATTGTGTGGCCTGCATCGGAAGGCATCGCACACGGGCTCAGAGCAGGCAACATTTGAAGGCTAAAAATGTAGTCTCTGTGACACCTGCTCCTCTCTTCACTTTAAATATGAGCCATTGGTCCATGGGGAACCCCTGCTTTAAAATAGAACTCATAGCCATTGTCTTCTACTCTATTGGATCGTGATGACAAACGCCGGCTCACAGCACTGTGACCATAGCCTGGACCCGACAGGTTGCATAAATTACTCAGGTTTTGATTTTTGTTCCTTAACAAATCACATAAATCATTGTGTGTTAGTGCTGCCAAAAGGGGGAGGTTCACTTTGCAAGTCTTAGCTTTCTAATTGGGGGAATTCTGTTTTCTTTCTTCCCAGGTGGTATTGTAGACATTTGTCTCTTGCTGGCTTTTAGAGATTAAAGGCCCATTTAAGATGGGGGCTTCTGAGCCCCCTCCCACAACCTCCCCCTCCTTCCCTCTGCTACTTTTTTCCTACTGTCCCTTTGACAGCCTCACACATGGAGCCTGGGCTGTCCTGGTGCCTGTGGCCTGGGACAGGTGTGGGTTTGCTACCTCCCCTTCCTAACCACGTTGACAGGTGGTAAAGGGGGCTGCTCCCCTCCTGGCTCCCTAGGGGATAGAACCCTTCCCCAGGCCTCACTCCCTGGGAGAAGATTGTTTTGCATAACATGAAGTACTGAGTATATAGGATTTGTCATGGGTGACACAAGACAAGAATTCTGTGTGATGACCTATAGCCTTTGAGGGCCTGTTTGTGACCCTTGTCCCTAAGCATGTTCTTTCTGTGACTGTCACCCTCCCTCCTGAGGAATCTCCTTTGACTCCCTTGTCATTGGAGTCACGCTGGGCAGTGTCCCTGTGGATGCTGGTCTGATTTGGGGAATGTAGGTATGTGAGGACCTGATAGGCTCAGGCAAGGTGGCCAGATCCTTGGCCAGAGGACATGTGGGCTGGCTGTTCCTAACAAGATGACCCTAGTGTGTTGGGGGCATTAATGCTTTCTGCCGAGTGGGAACATGCTCTGAGCTGGTGACTATGTCTGTGGTAGGTGACTGCCCTGGTGCCTTAGCATTTGCCAGACGAGGGAAGTAGTGAGTGTCACTCCTCGCCTGGTCAGGGGACCCTGATGTTACAAAACACCAACATCTGTGAGGATTCAGTGGGGGAGCCCTGTGCTCCAGCCTTTGTTGGCATGTGTACTGTAGCCCTTTGCTGAGGGCCAGTGCTATGCCGGTACATTTTGAGCCCAGCAGCACCTCCCTATGCCGACCCAGCTGTTGCTCTTGGCCCCAGGCCTCTCCTGTGAGCCCATCCTAGTTATTCTGTGGCACAAAAGTACCTTTGCTGTCAAAGCTTGGGCCAGAAAATGGCCAGAAATTTCTGATGGTTCTGTGCTTGGAAGGCACTGGCTAAGTTTTCTTATTAATATTTTGCTTGCTTTTTGTTTGCAGATGAGCTTAGAAAATGATGATAAGCGAGGTCGTACCCGATCCAAGGCTCTCCGAGGTGAGTACTGCAGCCCCCTGCCAAGTCTGGCCATGAGTCCTAGGCCCTCAGCTGCTGCCTTCTCTGACACTGTAAGTGCCACTCTCTTCACCTATTCTCCCCATGCAGGGACACTGTCCTCTGCATTGGTGCTTGGGGGCCCAGGCCTTTTCAGCTTCTTCCATCCTCGGGGGGTAGTAGGGCTGGGCTTTGAAGCTGGTGTCTAAGAGGGTTGCTGGGGCAGAGATGTGGGGATAGACCCAGCTCTATAGAGCTCAGTTTTCTGTTTGGAAAGAGGAGGCCACCTGCCTTGTGTCCCCAGCCTCTCCCCTCCTAGAAAGGCAATCTTGGTGCTGACAGGGATCAGGAGGCTGTGGACTGAGTTGCAGTGGAGTGGGAAGCAGAGGGGCTGAGGCGTTGCTCCCTCCAGCAGGACTGGAGCCCCCCTTGTTCAGTCTCCCTTGCTTGGCACCTGGGGCTTCCTGCTGTGCCCCTGGAGGCATCCGTGCATGTTTGCAGGCAGTGCCCCATCACTGGCTGGCCATTTGACCGTCTGTCATCTTCTTTGCTTGGCTTGATCTGTTTCCTGGCAAAAGCTGACTTCTGTTATAGCCAGAGATGGAAACCATCCCTGCACAGAGGGCCCAGGGCCCTTGTCATAGGCGGAGCACTTGTTTCAGTCTGCAAAACTGCCAGGTGCCACAACTGGAGTCATTGACATTCCAAGAGGTCAGGGAAGGGTGGGGGCCCTGGAAAAGCAGTTTGGTTTTCCCTAGGATTGTTTTGTCCTTGGCACACCTCTCAGATATTTGTCTTAGTTTGTGCTGTTAGGGAAACATGCCTTCTAAGTCCAAACTTTTCTCCCTGTTTCTCTCTCTTGCCCAGGACCCCCAGAAAGCACAGCTGCAGACCTCAGGTAAGGAAACCATCCTGTTAGCACCAAGCATCACACATGTGCCTGTTACCCTGTACAAGTCCTGAATTTTCAAAATGAGGTCTTCTTGGATTGAGCGAATACCCCTCTGCAAGCCCCTACTCTCCCTAATAAGCTGCCTTCCTCCTGGTCCTGCTATCTTGGTTCTCTGTCTCTGCAGTTTTTTACTTTCTTGGCCTCATCAGGAGGTGTCCTAGCCTCAGAGCAAGGACACAAGTTTTCTCACACCTGCACACCACCTGGACTGTCACAATAGTCCCTGACACCATGAGCAAGGTGTTCTGTTGGTGGAATCTCCTAAGGGTCCTTTGTCAGATAGTTGCAGGTCCAGTGTGGCCAGAGGTGAGAGAGCAGGGTCTTTTCCATCCCAAGTTTTCATGACACCACAGGCAGGCTCTGGCTGTATATACAGATGGTCTAGCTGACTGGGCTCTATGACTGTTTCCTTCTCACTACTTAGGGGCACAGATTCTCATTAAACTGTGAACAAATCCTGGGTAGGGATTATCTTACTCTTCACCCCACAGTTTTGGAGTGAACGGCTTTTGCCAATCAGGGAAATAAGACCACAAAGTTTTCCTTGTGGCACAGAGGGGAAACGCAGGGCAGGAGGCAGGGGAGGGCGTGTCTCCCCAGCCCTGGAGGTAGTAACTTACAGGGCAGGGGGTGTGGCAGTGGACATAGCCGAGCCCCACGCTCTGCAGTGTCCCCTCCTGTCAGTCTTGGTCTCTGGGAATTTCATGGAAACACTGCCTGACAGTGTTATCATCCCATTTTTGAAATGGGGTTAAAGTTTATCCAACTGGAAGAGCTGACACTCTACTCCTGGAAGCCCACCCCTGGATCACAGGTGTGGGGGAGATGTGCTGCAGCCACATACCAGCATTCTGGTCCTCAGGGCTTTGTGTACCCCTCAAACACAGAGGGGTCCAGCTCCCTGCAGGGGAGATACTGCCTGATGGCCTAAAGTGCTGAGGAAGTAGAGACTATGATGCCACCCGACACTTGGAGAGCCCAGGGAAAGGGGAGGAGGTGCCCCACTACATTTGCCTGGGGACCTTTCGGGGGCAGGACAAGCTGTCCTAGGCTCTCGGCTTAGGACTTGATCCTGGGTTCAAGGATGCTCTAGGTTTTGGTAGCTGTTTAAGTTCTGGTAGAGTTGGAAAGGCAAATCCAAATGGCTGGGTGTTCTTTTATAATTTTGAAACAGTGGAAAAAAAAATGACTTGTTTGTTTTGAAACATTCTGAGAGAAGACTCAGTCAGCCTAAGTCAGGGGTTGTGTGGGCATCTGGACTCTGCTACCTTCATTAATCTTGTGATCTCAATCTAACTACTTGGTGGTGCTGAGACCCTCAAATTTTATAATGGAGAAGCTGGGGCAAGGGCATACTGTCCTGTGTTCTGACAACAATTTCTTCAGCAGTTCTTTGTTTTTGAAAAGTGCTACTTGGTGGCTCGGCACCTGTGGCTCAAGTGGCTAAGGTGCCTGCCACATACATCTGAGCTGGAGGGTTTGAATCCAGCCCTAGCTTGCCAAACAACGACAGCTGCAACCAAAAAAAAAAAAAGCTGGGCATTGTGGTGGGCGCCTGTAGTCCCAGCTACTTGGGAGGCTGAGGCAAGAGAATCACTTAAGTCCGGGAGGTGGAGGTTGCTGTGAGCTGTAATGCCACAGCACTCTACCCAGGGCGACAGCTTGAGGCTCTGTCTCAAAAAAAAAAAATAAATAAATAAAATAAAATAAAAAGTGCTACTTGGAGTAAGATGGGACAAATACCATGCCAAGGACTCATGCCTGGCAGGTGCCATTCATTCCTGTGTTCACACAGTTGGTTGGTTGTGAGCTTCATGTGGGGATGCCATGTCTGCAGTGCTCTGTGGCTCGGCACAACAGGGAGCATGGCCCACAGAGAAACCCCGTTGCTGTGGTCTGGAGGGGAGCATCTGTGTGCAAATTGTGATGCTAGGCAAACACACACAAAATCTCTTGTGGCAAGGCCCTGTGCACAGGACTTTCTCTGTGGACAATGCCCTTGGGCCCCATTCACTCAGAACCTTACAGCCTGTGGTGTCCCCCACCCCAGCTCATCATCCCATCCCCAGCTCAGGCGGAGCTCCCAGGACGACACTTGTGTTTCGGGCAGCTGTAGCCTGGTTGTTTACCACTGAGTGCCCAACAGGTTCAATGGTTTTTCTCTTTATACCAGCAGAAGAGCTGATGCTTCAGTATATATTCTAGACAGGGTCGACTCTGCTAGAGGGGAAGGATGGGGAGGGTTACGGTTTGGGCTGGCGTCTTCAAGGCAGTGTGACATTGCCGTTCAGGGCCATCTCCAAGTTCAGAGTGAGACCACACCTGTGTCCTGACTCCTTGTAGCTCACTATTCCTCTTCTGGGGGCCTGGCTTCTTTCATCAGTGGCCAGCTCCCATCCAGAAAACAGGAGAGAGTGGAGGTCTTCCATTTTCCCCAGGGATGGGAGGGAAACAAGTCCTTTAGAGGTTGGTAACTGAAGCACCAGCCCCAGGCTGGGCCCCTTGGTACCTATTGTACCTGCTTGGGTCCCTCCAAGCTGTAACAGGGTCCCTTGGAGGTATGGGTGTGGACCATGCCCTCTGGCAAGCCTCACCATTTCATTTCCTGGCATCTGTGGCACCAGCCCTACTCACACACTGGGAGCCCAGGCAGGGGAGTTCAGGATTAGCTGTTAAGCAGCATGGTAGACTCAGTTCTGTCCCTTCTCCCACAGAGGGAGATGCTCTCTGGTCTGGGAACCCTTACCAGCTCCCTCCCTAAATCGACAGACACTGTAGCCAGTGTGCTCATAGGCCCAAGGCCTCTGTCTGCCTGCATGATTGCCTCTGGAGACCCAGGCCTGGCTTCCTGTCAGCTCCACCTGATGCCCTTGGCTGCTGTGTGGGGAGTAGGCGTCCCAGGGCTTCCCAGCTTCCTGTCCCAGAGTGGCCTTGTCAGCTCCACACACTTGAGCTCATAGCCCTGTCTTACACTATCTGAGGCTGGGGTGGGAAATTGCCAGCCCACTTGGCAGGGGACCAGGAGTCTTCGGAACTGGGGGTGGAGGAGTGGCTTGGAGCAGGTGACATGTTTGGGGGCAGTGCCAGTCCCCACAGGCCTCCATGGCAGCTGTCACCTAATTGCCTGATTAACTCAGTGATTAATCGACTAATTGGGACCTCAGCTTTAAAACCCCAATAACAACGAGCTTTTTGTGAAAAGTCTCAAAGCTAGTTCTTGAGAGAGTGAAAGCAAGTGTGGGCCTGGAATTTAGAATAGACTAGCTGGGGGGTGGGGGTGGGCAGTGGCCACTGCCCTCCATTTGGAAGGAAATCGCAGTAAAATGTGGCAGGCCCTCCCTATGTCCCTTCTCCCCTCCTTTTCTTTCTCCTTTTGAAGAAAGGATATATCTTTGCACGTTGAAGATAAGCTCTAAGATCAGCCACAGTGGCTCCACCATGGACATTTGAGGGGTTGTCCTCATCAGAGCCTTCACCCCCCATGGCTGGCGTTAAGCTTGGAGTTGGGGGGGCATGGGCCATCAGTGAGTGTGGACTGCATGGCCAGCTGGGTCCTACAGCTGTTTTTAGTCAGACCTGTGGTCAACCAAGTAAGAAACCATTGGAGGGGTCTTGACAGAGGCTAGAGGTGGTGCCCATGTCCCTGGGTGCCCAGCATCAGTGGGCCAGCTCATACCTTCCTCCCTTCCCAGGCTCTGAAAGATGTACCTGTGTTTTAGGACAGCCTGATCCCAGGCAAGAGCTCACACCCACATCAATCCTGCTAAAACCCAGGCCTTTCTATCTCAGCCAGGGATGCCTCTGTCTTCTATGAAGAGCCCAAACTCTGCCCTCTAGAGGTTGCCCTGGGTGACCTCGAATGGTGTCTCCACCTCAGTGCTCTGTAGTAACATTGGTTGATAACAGCTCCTCTCAGAACTTGAACTGAGTCTGCAGCCTGCAGGAGGAGCCCGAGTGGTGGTGACCTGTGGCCTCACACCCTATACAGGATCCTCTGTAGCCATTCTTTCCTGGTCTCCTCTGGGAACTGTGATTCTGCTGCCATGATTGGGCATGTGCTCAGCACCCATGATCAGAAGTTTCCAGAGCTTCCTACTGCTTTGGCTATGTTGGGAGACAGATGATGGCTGAAGACCAGGAACCCCTAGGGGCCTTGCCTTGTGCTTACCAGCCCTGGGGTGGGAGTTGTTAGCGAAGCATCACTTCCTCCCCAAACTGCCCTTCTGAGCACAGCCTGAGAATCCACCAGGCCTGGAGTTCAGCTCCTGGCTCTCGGGCCACCAGGATTCACTTTCCTCCATGGACCCAGCAGGCACTGGGCTGGAGTCTCCACTGCCCCTTTGTGGCTCGGGCTAGTGGCTTGGGCCATGGGCACTTCCTATCTGGCAGCCCTGCGTTAGTTTGCTGGGGTGAAGGGCACACCTGGCAGGGAGTGCAGAGACTGTTGCCCTTAATGGCCTCAGGCCTTACAGCATCAGTGACACTTATGGGCAATTCCAACTTTTGTACTTTTGACTTGGGCCAGACTCAAGCACTGAGTCCCTTGTGGAGAGGAGTGCTTTGTTCAGGACATTTTAGAGGGTCTTGTTGCTAAGCCCCTAGAAACTGGGCAGTAGCTGGTACAATGCCTGCAGTGGGAGCACCTGGGGGATTCCAGTACATGCGGATGTCTGTTTAAATGGGGTGAGTTATTTCATTAACTTTTAGCTAACCACAAGCAGCTATACTGAGATGAAATGTGTAGGGACAGTCCTCTGGTCCCAGGGTGACTAGGGTGGGCCCGAAATCCAACCTTGCTGCCCAGATGACCTCTCCTGCTTGTCCCTCAGCTGCCCCACCCCAGGATGCACAGGCTCAGGACACGTCCGGGGAAAGTATTCCAGGCATCGGAGGTAAGAGTCCCTTAGCTCTTCAGAGTTACCTTCGAGGGAGGTTTGGAGCCCCCTCTGCACTGAACCCTTTCATGGATTAAAAACCTTTCATCTCTGTCCTAAGCTCTGAGGTCAGCGTGGCTGTGGGCCTGCTATGTGGGGACTGCTAGACTGCCTGTCCCCAGCTCTGCATTGTGGTTTCCTGTTGGGGAGACTGCCAGGGCTAGCTGACGGCGGCTCAGAGCAGGTGTGGTGCACGCCAGTGTGACTGCGTGAGCTACCGCTGGCATTGTCAGTATGAGGGTCCCGGGAAGTTAGCTGGATCTCAGGTGCCTCCCACAGCAGCTCCAGTTTCAGAGGGTCGGTGTGAGCAGTGGGGGTCTGGAGGTGGAGGAGGAAGGACATCAGAGGGAGGAATGGCTGCAGATCAGACCAGGCTGTGTGTAAGATGCTGGGTCTGAAGGATGGCTTGGCAGGGATGGCCTGGGCCAGTGGGCCCTGGAAGGGCAGGGAGCCCTCACTCTGCTGCAGTTAGGTCTTCTTGTTGCTCAGGAGAAGCAGGACATGCAATTTAAAACACAATCAGAAACTGTTAAATGTATATAATTAAATGTAAAACTTTAAGTACATCACAGTCTGGGGCTTCCAGCTAAAAGTGGCTGTGGAGAGGGGCCTTAGGGAGGTGCTTGGGGCATCTGAGGCCAGCAGGCTCCGCCTGGCTCCTCCACCACCCACACCTCCCTCCCAGTTTGCAGAGCTGCCCTCTGGCCAAGAAGAGGAAGCTGGAGGGTGCTGAGGCTGAGCACCTGGTATCCAAGAGGAAGTCACACCCCCTGAAGCTGGCTCTGGACGAGGGCTATGGTGTGGACAGCGACGGCAGTGAGGACACCGAGGTGAAGGACGCCTCTGTTTCAGATGAATCGGAAGGAACTCTGGAGGGGGCTGAGGCTGAGATGTCTGGACAGGAGGAGATTCATCGTCCCGAGCCAGCTGAAGGTGCTTTGTTGCTCTTTCTCCCCTGAATAAAGGGTGCTCAGTGTGGTCCTGGAGAATCATAGACTGTGAGCAGGGAGGGGCTCACCCAAGAGAGAGAAAGCCCTTCCTGAGAACAAGGCACGTCTGTGCCAACATGTGCTGGGCTTCCTGGGAGAGGGGCCTGTCTACCGTGCTTGTGGGGTCTATGGTTGTTTGTGTGCAGACACTGGTGGATGGGGGAGAGGCAGGACAGACATATAGACGCAAGGCTGGTGTGTGGGCAGTTGTGTGTCCCAGCAGGTGTGTCTGTGAGTGTGAGAGAGACAGATAGGGCTGTGTTTCTGCATGTCCCTGGTGGGGGAGGTGCTTCTTAGGCAGACTCCGTCTTGTCTGGCTCTCTGTGATAGCTTCCTAGGGAAGAGTGAGGATCTGCTTGGCCCTGAGGTACTATAGGCAGAAACACCTCAGGGTGGACAAGAAGCAACCGAGGACCACATGGGGCTTCTGAAGGTGGGGCCTCTGGGGAAGCCTGGAGGGAAAGGACAGACCCTCTGTTCCTTGTGGGGTCCACCAGAACTGGCAGAGTTGGGAAACCTAGCCCTTGACAAGAGCAGGTGCAGGTAACCCTGAATCCTGGAAGGAGGGATCTGCATCCCCTGAGGGCCCTGTAGATTGTGAAGTCCTGGGGTTCAGACTGAGGCTTATGGTTTGATGCCCCACTAACAACCCTCACATCTTCTGCTGTCAATTGACCTTGAAGGGTCTGAGGTAAATTTGTATTTTATTTCTGAGGCTAATCAAGGCAGGGTCCTTAGACATCTCTCCCTCCAGGGGCTCTGGAGTGTGGATCAAGGCCATCCTGGATTCCAGGTAGAAAAGACACTAAATTACCTGCTTCCTTACAAAGAAGGGTGTCTGGAGTTTGGCCATCAGTCCTGCAATTAGCTTCTTCTCTATGCAGTGGGCAAATGGTAGGGCCCGTTTCTTCTATTGCTGGGGGTGCTAGCCAGAGAGTCCTTGTAGATGATCCTGAGGTTCTGCATCTAGTGGACAATCTACTAAATCTTAGTTATTGTGCTTAAAGTAATGACATTTGGGTCCTTTACAAATAAAACTTTATTTACTGCTTTTCTTTTTTTTATTAAACATTTTTATTTTTTTATTTTTAGAGATAGGGTCTTGCTCTGTCACCTAGCCTGGAGTGCAGTGGGTGATCATAGCTCACAGCAGCTTCGATCCTGAGCTGAAGTGATCTGCCCACCTTAGCCTCTCTAGTAGCTGGGACTACAGGTGTGAGCCACCACATCAGCTAATTTTTAAGTTTTTGTAGAGACGGGATCTCACTATGTTATCTAGGCTGGTCTTAAACTCCTGGCCTCAAATGATCCTCCTGCCTCAATCTCCCAAAGTTTGAGCCACCCAGTGATTTACTGCATTTCCATTATGAAGCAATTTATTTACTTATTTATTTAATCTTTTTTGTAGAGGCAGAGTCTCACTTTATTGCCCTCGGTAGAATGCTGTGGCATCACACAGCTCACAGCAACCTGGGCTCCTGGGCTTAGGTGATTCTGGGCTTAGGTGATTCTCTTGCCTCAGCCTCCCGAGTAGCTAGGATTACAGGTGCCCACCACAATGCCTGGCTACCTTATTGTTTCAGTTTGGCCGGGGCCAGGTTTGAAATGGCCACTCTCGGTATATGGGGCCGGTGCCCTATCCATTGAGCCACAGGCGCCACCCTGTGAAGCAATTTTTAAAAACCTGAATGGCTCCATTGCTCCATTTTATAAAATGCAGGTTTACCTTATTTGAGAGCACATAATGGGGGAAGAACATTAATAAAAATGTCAAAGTAATTCTCATCTTTAAACATATATCAACAGCTCATGATTACCTCCTAAAATAAGTGAGACCTCCTTGTCTCCCCTGTGCTGTGGTCAAAAGTGGGAGGTAAGACTGGAGTGCTGAACTTTGTGTTGAGTGCCAGAGACCTGGAGGCTTCCATGTGTTCTCCTCTGGCCCCCATGGTGTTTCTGATTTTGTGCAGGAAGGAGCCCCATCAAGTCCCATTTTGGATCCAACCCCATCAGCAGCCCTACTGCCTCTTCCAAGGGTAGCTACAGCAGCTATAAAGGAATCATTGCAACTTCTCTCCTAAACTTGGGCCGAATTGCTGAAGAGACCCTGGTGGGGGAGGACTTTGGCCAAGTGGCCAAGCCAGGCCCCAGCATTGTGCACCTGCTTCAGGAGGAGGCTGTGGAGGGAGCCACCAGTGATGAGGGTGAAAGGGACTTGTTCATCCAGCCAGAGGATGCAGAGGAGGTTGTTGAAGTCACCAGTGAGCGTTCCCAGGAGCTGTGTCCCCAGTCCCTGGAGGATGTGGCTAGTGAGGAGTCCAGCAAGCAAAAAGGCATCCTGGGTCATGAGGAGGAGGAGGATGAAGAAGAGGAGGAGGAAGGGGAAGAAGAGGAGGAGGAGGAAGGGGAAGAAGAGGAGGAAGAGGGAGCAGTTCCTAATGTGATCTTCAAGGAGGATGTCTCCCATCCATCTGCCCAGAAGGGCCCTGAGCTAAGGTGCCCAGAGCCGCTCAGTCCCAAGCCTGAGTATTCTGTCATTGTGGAGGTCCGCTCTGATGATGACAAGGATGAGGATGCACACTCCCAGAAGTCAGAGGTCACAGACGAGCTGGAGATGCATGACATGATGACGCGGGGGAACCTGGGCCTCCTGGAGCAGGCTATTGCCCTGAAGGCCGAGCAGGTGCGAGCCGTCTGTGAGCCTGGCTGCCCGTCTGCTGAGCAGGGCCAACTGGGCATGGGTGAGCCAGGGAAGGCCACGAAGCCCCTGGACACGATGCGGAAGAGCTACTACAACAAAGGTAGGGGCTGGGGTGGCCTGGCCCTGCACGCCTACCCTTCATCCCTTCTCCAGGGGCATGGCACCCTACCCCAGGGGTGCAGATGCTTATAGGTTGGGGGACAGGGGAAGGCAGAATAGTAGACGAGGGGACAAACACTAATGACCCTGCCTATGGTCAGATGCTGAGGGAATGGGTGCACTGCTTTACACAGGGTGATCTGGGAGAGGCATGGAGCTGATTCTCATGCAAAGGAACCAGGTGGCAGAGAGGAGGGAGGGAGGGACATTGTGACCAGCCACAGTGGCTGGTCACAGCAGCATCTGCCCCCTGGAGAGGCTGAGGCCTGTCTTGTGCCAGCGACCTGACTCATACCTGTGGCAGAACCCATACTCAACTGTCTTCAGCCCTGGAAAGCTGCTTTCTATAGCCATGCTGGGTCATCTTGACCCTCTTTTGAGGTTGAGACCAGCAGGCAGATATCAGCATGTCTGTCCCTTGTTTGTCTGGAAGGAGCAGCCTCCTGCTGGCTCTGCCTCTGTCTCTGGATTTTGCCCTAAATTAAGCAGTGTGTCACCCTGGCCTGGCTGACATCTTGGTGAGATAGTCAGTAGTCAGGTGGGACCTCTGGAAGGGGCTTAGGCTGGGTTGATATGGTTGAGGAGAGGCTGGGAGCCTGGAGGGCCAGGTCTGAGGACAGATTCCAGGCAAGCACTCCACTGTTACCTGGAGGGTCAGGGTCTGAACAATGGGCTGGCTCTGGCCTGCTGACTGCCTATCTCAAGTACCTCCTAGGCCCAAGGACAGGGGACGGGGAACAGCATTCATGGTTGGCCTGGGGCTGTTCCCGTGCCAGGGAGGCCAGGTCTGGGACAGGTTGGCTTGGATGCTGTGTGTACCACCATACCTGGATGCTCTCCTAAAGTCATGCAGCTGCTCTGACTGTGGTCTCTTCTTTCCCTCCCCCCTAGTCCAGCCTCTCTTCTCTAGGTAGGCAGTGGGAGTCCTTGGTGCTCTCCAGTGACTCTCCCAGGAAAGGTTAGCTGAGATCAGAGAGGGAACAGATAAACAAGGAGGACTGGCATTATGGGGTGACTCAGATGCTAGAGCCAGAGTCAGGAACCAGAGCCAGGAGACACAGATTTGGGGTAGACCCTGGAAGGATGCACCTAGGGCATGAGAGAGATGGACTTGAGTGACATATAGTTCAGGGAGCTTAATAGCAGGAGGGTCAGTAGAGACACAAGGGACACATTTTTTAGGAATGCCGTGCATATGAGACAAGCCTGTGGGACAGATACTGAGGGGACAAAGGTAGGGGGACATGATTTCAGATTGAATTGGACCTGGCGAGTGATTCAGGGGGACATCTTTTAGGGTAACATAGATTGGGGGAAAGATACTGAGGGGACACAGCCAGAGATATTATTCAGAGTGAGGTGGACCTGAAAGACAGCTTAGATGGCACCCTTTAGAGTGACAGAGTGAGTGACAGTGGTTCAGGGGCTCAGATTTAGGCCAGCACTGCCAGGCTCAGGCTCTGAGGGTCCATAGGCATAAGAAGACACAGGTCGAGGGTGAGAAAGACTCAGGGACAGGCTTCTAGTCTGGGGATGGCATGTGTGGGTCCCACAAACCAGGGCTGACTTTCATGAAACACATACAAGGAACATAGTCACCAAGTGACAGCTAGGCCCAGGTATTTAAAGGACTGTAGGACAGGCATAGGTTACCCAGACAAGGTATCCTGCCTTCAGGAATAGATTTTGAGGGCACAGGCCCATGGAGCCAGAGGCTCAGGGTGACACCGGTGGCTGGGCTGGGAATGCTAGGCAGTGCCAACTCAGGCTGTGGAGACATATGCATGTCAACAGGGAATGCAGAGGCCTGGTTTCAAGGGACTGACACTGGGGTACAGATGCAGTGAGAATTCTGTACAGAGGTGGGGGGCAGTGGCAGCAAGATCAGGAGGCAGATGTTGGGCACAGACTTGGGAGCTCCTCAGAATGGCCCTGCCTATCCAGATGGGTTGAGGTTTGAGTTCAGAGTGGCAGAGCTGGGGCTCTTTCCTGTGGAGACCCTGCTGGGGCATTGTCCTCTCTGAGTTGGGGGCTTGAGTTTAGCTTTGCGCCTTCTGCAACCCTCCCAAAGGGTTCGGCTCATCCAGAAAAGATTTTTCTGGGTTATCAGCTATGCTCTAAGGATCCTTCTGTGTCCCTTCTGGTCCCCATGCTTGATTGTGACCTACCTGGGCCTGTAGAGGCTGGATGAGGTCAGCAGCAGAGCTTTGGTCTTAAATTGCTGCCTGGGCATTTATTAGTCATGCAGCCTTGAGTAAGGCATTAACCTCTATGCCCTTCTTGTTTTGTCAAATCCCAAGGATGTCTCCTGGCAGGAGCATTGCCAGATGCCTTCACCTCTCTGCACAGAAGGCCTGTGAGGCTACCACCTTGTCAGCAGGAGAGAGGAAAGAAGGCTCCAGTTGCCGTCGGGACTGCTCTTTTAAAATGCTGCACATCCTACTGTTCAGTGTATTTGGGGTGTTCTCTGAACTTTTCCATGCAAATAGCCAGTGTAGGCCAGTTTCTGTCCAGCTCCTGATCCCTTTTTGAGCTCCTGGACAATCTCACATCCCTTCTCTTTGGACAGCCAGAATGAGGGGTCATGAGCCGTTTCTGCCCCTTTCCCTGCTCACTGCTCATCATCTACCACCCAGCTTCCCAGCTCTGACTGAGTCTTATGTGTTCTAGATCCTTCAAGAGCTGAGAAGCGTGAGATCAAGTGTCCAACACCAGGCTGTGATGGCACTGGCCATGTTACTGGGCTGTACCCTCACCACCGCAGCCTGTCTGGCTGTCCCCACAAGGATAGGATCCCTCCGGAGAGTGAGTAGCCCCCTGCAGGGTCATCCCAAGCCCCATGCTTGGGTCCTCTGTGGTGTTGGGTGGTGTCTGTGGGAATAGCAGCCCACCCAGGGCCTTGTCCCTTTGGTTGGTGTAGACCAATGGTTCTCGACCTGTGGGTTGCGACCCCTTTTTAACAATGAAAATATATCGAGGTGTTAGGAAGGTTGAGAACCACTGGTCTAGATGCTCACCTTCAGACTCCCCACCCCCAAACTGCCTATGCCTGGTGAGGCTGGGGCAACCTGGAGACAGCCAGTGTGGGGCAGAGCCCCTGGAAGACTGCCGTAGACAGTTCGAGGAGAGGGGACAGGCTAGTGTCAACCAAGCTGGAAAGGTGTTCTGAAAGCTCAGAAAGCAAATGCCCATTATTATTTCTAGGCTAGAAGCAGTAATTCTGAAAGTTAAGTTTCAAGGAGTAAGACAGAGTGACAAGAGGTTTTAAAGCTGAGTTTAGTTTCTGCCACAGCAGGGAGGGACCATGCTGGGAGGGGTGTGCTCTAACCAGGCTGAGGGTGGTGTGGGCATCTGCCCTGGATCTCTGCTCAAAGTTGCCATGTCCCTCAGTTCCCTACAAAGCAGCCCCTTGAACAGGGCTCCTTCTGTCTCTGTGGGCTGCCCTCCCCATGCAGACACACCTGTGCTCTCCCTGGTTCTCTTACAGTCTTGGCCATGCATGAGAATGTGCTGAAGTGCCCTACTCCTGGCTGCACGGGCCAGGGTCATGTGAACAGCAACCGCAACACACACAGAAGGTACCAGGGCTAAGCTGAGCCATGGGTGGGCAGAGTGTACAGTGAGGAATCTTGGCTGGGCCCATAGTGTATGTCCCGCCCAGGCCTTGGGCCCTTACCTGGGCCAGGGCTCTGGCCTGCCAGGTGGCCCTCTGAGTGCCACCCCTTCCCCATCTGCTCCCCCAAGTGGTGGGTGTAAGGTCAGGGCAGACCTGGGATGGGAGGGGCCTGTGCATGGGCACAGTAGCACCCAGAGCGGCAGTCATCCTGTGTTGCTGCTGCCTGCACTCCTGTGTGCTGGGGGTCCCAAGAAACCAGAGGGCAGCTTGCAGAGGATAAGTGTGCACTGGTCAGAGGGGTCTAATGCCTGTGAAGAAAGCCAGGTGGAGACTTTGTGTCCTGTCAATGCTCATAGAACCTCTGCATATTAGCAGACACAGGAAGCTCAGCAGGCCAGGATTGTGCTCTCCATGGAAGTGAGGCTCATCTTCCGTGATGAGAGGGCACCTCACCTGGAATGTTGTGGGTGTCCTGGCCTCTGTGGGACGTGCCTTTGCCCCAAGGGTACATGCTTGGCTGAAAGGACTGCCAGAGCTTTTGAGGTCACTTCGTTTGAAGAGGCCAAATTCCCTATTATGTGACCTCTCCAGGATGGCTGAGGGGCTACCCCTAGAGCTTAGGTCGACTCAATTCTGACTGATAAATCTGTTGCTTCCCCTGTCTTATATTGAGCACTTTCCTAGAAAGGGCCTGAGTCCTTTAGGGTCTGTGCTCAGGTCTGGGTGTGCCCTGGGCTACCAGAGACAGTTCTAGAATCCGGCCCTGGGAGCTGGGGAAAAGAGAGGAGAGAGGTGAGGAGCAAACCTGTCACCAAGACCCAGGCAGAGTGGCTACTTTGTCCAGAGCTTTGCAGGCCTTTAGGATGTATTTCACATGTCATTGCCTTAGAATTTCCCTAAACAGAAACCAAGTAGTTTGTACTTTGAGGGCTTGAGGGTAGAGCTAGAGGAAAAATCCCTGTCCTGCAAAAATGACCAACTCATTCCTGGCTCTGGGCCTCTTGGAGACCTAGATTTCTCATGTCTGAACGATTTTACTCTGAGACCCACATACTCAGATACTCAGGATGGGTCAGCCCAGGAGGAGAAGCTGAGATATATCCCCCCCTTTCCTTCCTCTAGTTTATCTGGCTGTCCCATTGCTGCTGCTGAAAAATTAGCCAAATCTCATGAGAAGCAGCAGCCACAGATGGGAGACCCTTCCAAGAATAGCTCCAATTCAGATCGGATCCTCAGGTGAGTGAGGGGAGCCATAGAACTGAAGAAGTTACCTTCCAGACCTGGCAGGAGACATCCTGATCTCTCCCTGTGCCGATTGTGCCGATGTGTGTGAGTGTACATGCCTGTGAGTGTGCACATGCCCCAGGGTCAGTGCTGAGTGGCACTTTGGGGACACACCAGTCGCACGTGTGCACATTGCCAGAGCCTCCACCATGGCTCTAGCTCCTGCATGGCTGTTCTGTCTTAGCCACAGGCTGCTCCCCTCTCTAGGGATCCTTTTGTGGGGATGCTGGTCCACAAGAGAGAGCAGACTGTACCAGCCAGGGGCTGTGGCTGTCCAGGAAGCACCACGAGCCACTGACCCCTGGCTGTCTTAACTCTCCCGCCCCAGGGATAGCCCCTAAGCCAAGGGACAGGGATCATGTGGGCCTTGTTTCCAGAATGCCCCTCTCCTGTGGCCCCTGAGGTTGTAAGACAGCAGTAGACATGTGCGCACATATGTGTGTGGCATGGGTGTGGTAGTGTGTGTTGCATGCCTGCTTGTTTGTGTATACACATGCTAGCACCTCATATATTGGATATCTAGACATGGCTCTCATCAAGTGGGGACTTCTGAAAACCATTCAGCATGTATCCAATCAGTGTTCCCTCCACCTTGGGAAGTGCATGTTACAGACAAGGCCCCCTGCCCAGCCTGCCTTGCTGCAGGGTCCCCACTCAATGGGGCTGAGTCCCTGGACCACGAGGCTACTACTACCCAGAGGACCTGCCACTTTGCTCCTCACTTCTCTGAGGAATCAGAACTCACACGTATTTTCTCCTTCTCAGTTCCATTTCTCTTCATTTCTCTCTAGACAAGAGTGTGGGAGACCTTGGCAGGCTGAATGTGAATGACACCTTAGTCCCTCCCATTCCCCCATCCTTTCAGGGCCCACCTGGCCCCCGGCACACGCCTGGCAAATTCCAGCCAGATGATCTTGGCCACTCACCTTGGCTGCACTGGGGCCTGGCCATTTCCTGGCCTGCTCTGGAGGGTCCCTCAGAAGATCCCATGCTTGCCTGTGGTACACTCACCATCCCTTGCGTGGGGCCTTCAGCCTTGCAAGCCCCGGCCAGCTCTCACAGCAGTTTGAAGCTGCATTCCCTCCCATCTTATTGGCCACTCCTTCCAGCTTCCTATCAGTTGCTAATTTGGTCCTTTCCCTAGTCAATTTTCAAACAACCAGTTTTGCCTGGGTATGAGGGGTCAAACAGGCCCCAACCGTGGAGGCTGCACTGCCTAGGATTGTGAGGTCAGTTTGTTTACCTATAAAAGAAGGACAATAAACTATAAGATTGCTCATGGTCTACCTGAAGTTAATAGCTATGGCCAGGGTGGAGGAGCCTCCCATCTTCCCATTAGGCTCTGTGGGCTTATCTGGCCCGTGTTTCTGCATTGGCCCTGGGGGTTTTAGTTTAGTTTTCCCCTGTTGGTGTCAACTGGCCTCACTCCTGCAACTTTTCCAGATGCCACTGGTCCGGAGTCCAGCCCAGGCTTCCCACTTTCTTTGGGGGAGGGAGCATATGCCCATCCTCTGGTGGTATCCAGTTTCTTGAGACCCTTCAGAGCAAGGGCTCTGCAATGGTGACAAGGCTCTGTGCTCCAGGCCTCTGTTCTTAGTTCATTTAAGTCTAACAGGACCTAGTTTCTGATGGTTCCCTCTTAATCTCGTCAACTGCACCCTTTCCAGACTGAAGTCACCTGCTTGGTCTAGGCAGTACCCTCTTCTCTCTGAGCTGACTGGATAGGGTTCACACTTTCTGAACCCTGTGTGGTCACCAGCCTCTCTCATCAGTCTTTCTTCCCTGCCTCTGCCCCTTTCCCTGTGTGTAAAACCTGAAGTCTTCCAGGAGCTCCAGAAACAGTGAACTGAATGTTTGCTGTGGCCTTTTCATGCCTGTTACAACCATCTCAGCCTAACTTTAAGAAGACAGCAGCTGGTTTGGTGCCCATAGCACAGTGTTTACGGCACTGGCCATATACACTGAGGCTGAGGGTTTGAACCCAGCCTGGGCCAGCTAAACAACAATAACTGCAACAACAACAAAAAATAGCCAGGCATTGTGGTGGGTGCCTATAGTCCCAACAACTTGGGAGGCTGAGGCAAGAGAATTGCTTAAGCCTGAATTTGAGGTTGCTATTAGCTGTGACGCTATGGAACTCTACCGAGGGTGACATACTGAGACTCTGTTTCAAAAAAAAAAAAAAAAAAAAGGAAGACAACAGCTGAGGGCTATATCCCTGGCTGAGTGAATAGTTGGCCAGGACCTGCCCTGGGGCTGCTCCTCAGAAATGCACCTGCCACAACCAGTGTCCCCTCTAGATTCCCCAACTCCCTCTTTGGTGCAGTGTTCTAGGATATTCTGCTGGAATTCTGCCTTAGAGTGGCTTGCCATCACCCTACGCTGTGTTGCTATTTGGGTCCCTGTGGAGAGCTTATAGAGATTGTAGCTGACTTGTTTGAACCCTTCTTTCTTAAATTCTGGGGGAAATCTCAGGTCCTCCCACCTCTGGGTAGTGCTGTCAGCATGAGGCAGGCCACAGTTTCTTTGAGGCTCCTATTACTTCCTCCTGCAGGTCACATGCCTGCCCGGGGAGCTCTTCACCCTGGTAGGTGAAATTCTGATGAGACTCTAGTGGTGGGCTATGTGTGGCGGGAGTATCCCTTTGTCTCTTAGTGTTCTGTGGGGTCCCTGTCTGGGCCATGGCATGGGGTCCGGGGGGTTGCCCTGGGTCCATGGATCCCTTCCTCACTGGCTCTGCATCCCTGTCCTGCACCCCAGGCCTATGTGCTTCGTGAAGCAGCTTGAAGTCCCTCCATATGGGAGCTACCGGCCCAGTGTGGCTCCTACCACGCCCAGGGCCAACTTGGCCAAGGAGCTGGAGAAGTTCTCCAAGGTCACCTTTGACTACGCAAGTTTCGATGCTCAGGTTTTTGGCAAACGCATGCTTGCCCCAAAGATTCAGACCAGCGAAACCTCACCTAAAGCCTTTCAGTGTAAGTTCAGGAGAATTTGCTCTTTTTTCTTTTCCTGTATTGCTCCTGGGAGCAGCGGGACTCAACAGACAGTGGAGAAAGGGCCTCTCTGAGAACAATGTAACTGAAACATTGTACCCTCATAGTAATTTGAAAAAAGAAAAAAAATACTCAAAAAAAAAAAAAAAAAAAAAAAGAAGAAGAAGGGGCCTCTCATGGGGCTGGTGCTGAGGGAATCTTTGCCCTTGGGTTCAGAGTGCAGCCTGAGGCCTTAGCTGTCCTGGTGGGCACTGTCATAGCTTTCACTGGGGCCACATCTTACCCATGTTGCTGCCACCATGTTCACCATCAACCTTTATGTGTCTCGTAATTATTTATGAAACAAAACCTGGATCTGTGTATTTCCAGAGACATAAGAATAACCTCACTGTTATGGTTCCCCCTGGGAGAACCCCTCTCCTGACTATCCTCATGCAACCTGTTTAATTCCAACACAGTGGGGTGTCCACTTTCCAGCACTGCCTCTGGGAGGGTTTGGGCTATGGGATTGGGTGGGTCTGGACAACTACTGACCTGGGCCCCAGAACCCTAGTGGGAAGCCATTTTCTCTGCATGGGGACCACTGGATACAGTGTCTTTGTGACATTAGTAACAGATTTTCAAAGTAGTTGCATTGACAAAAGTAATTTCTACAAATCTTTGAGATTTCTGCAGATCTTGTCTTTTCTTGTCACTTGTGACATTAATTTATGCAATAAGTCTGTTAGCTCTGGAGAGGCACATGAGATGGAAAAGTGCCCAAGCGTAAACATGGGATTGGCATCTCTGGGTGTGTGTGGTCAGCCTGCTATGACAGGGATGAATTTCCCACACGTTAATAATGAAAATACTGATTGGCCAGTCCACACAGTAGGACTGTAGATTGGCCAGTAGGATGTGTGTAATCCTAGCACTCTGGGAAGCTGAGGCAGGTAGATTGTCTGAGCTCTGGAGTTTGAGACCAGCCTGAGGAAAAGTGAGACCCTGTCTCTACTAAAAGTAGAAAAACTAGCCAGGTGCTGTGGCAGGTGCCTGTAGTCCCAGCTACTTGGGAGGCTGAGGCAAGAGAATCACTTGAGCCAAAGAGTTTGAGGTTGCTGTGAGGTATGATACCACGGCACTCTAGCCAGGGTGTTTCTGGCTGGGTGTGAGCCTCTTGGTCTAACTTTGGCCGAACCTGCTCAGTAGGATGGAGGCCTTCACGAGGGTGCCAGTGGAGAGGGGAACGCAAAAGGAACTTTCTGTATAATGTGACCTTTCAGGAATATACACAGGGCCTGGGTGCTGTGGCTCACACCTGTAATCCTAGCACTCCGGGAGGCTGAGGTGGGTGGATTGCCTGAACTCACTGGTTTAAGACCAGCCTCAGCAAGAGTGAGACCCCATCTCTAAAAATAGCTGGGCGTTGTGGTGGGTGCCTGTAGTCCCAGCCATTCAGGAAGCTGAGGCAAGAGAATCACTTGAGCCCAAGAGTTTGAGGTTGCTCTGAGCTATGACGCCATGGCACTCAACCCAGGGTGACAAAGTGAGACTCTATCTGGAAAAAAAAAAAAAGGAATATACTCATGACATTGTATGTGGTTACTCAGAATATGGTGCATAAGAACGATTTTATGAGTATGGTTACAGTATAATTACTGGAAAGAATAACATTTTATGTTTCCATTCATCATATTTATTTGGACAATAATGTTATACCATTAAGGCAGTGACTATTACTGGAGACATCCAAGTCATCCTAAATATGTTCACACCCTTTTTAGATGATGTGACATTTTCCTGCTTGAGTGATATTCCAAACACTCATCCTATTTACAGAATTCTTCAGTTTCTCAACAAGCGTTTGCCAATGGACAAGTTATTTTTGTTTGAAACATCAGGACTATTGGAATTTTAGATAGTTTTGCTCTTTATGCCCAAATTTTGGTCAGGCTAGAAGTGATATTGCCTCCTCAGTGCCCTGAAGGGGAACAGGTGGGAGTGGGGTGTGTGGCCAAGCCCTTTGTGCACTTTGGGCCCTCCCAATGTCCCTGTGATGCGTCTGCAGTGTCACCTGTGTTCAAGCTGTGTGTCAGCCTGGTGTTGTTCCCTTTTTGCAGCCAAACCTTTCCCAAAGGCCTCTCCCCCCAGGCACAGCCCCTCCAGTAGCCACATAAGGAGCACTTCATCCTCCTCTGCGGGCTTTGACTACTCACAGGACGCCGAGGCTGCACACATGGCTGCCACTGCCATCCTGAACCTCTCTACACGCTGCTGGGAGATGCCCGAGAACCTCAGCACAAAGCCGCAGGACCCCCCTGGCAAGGTTGGTGTGTCCCCACAGAGCCTGTCTGAAGAGAGATGAGTTGGTAAAATCTGCCGTCAGGCCTGTCTGCTCCCTGCACAAGAAGTCCCCAGAACAGCTGATGTCTAGTGAGAAATTCTCACTCTTACTTTTTATCCTTCCTGGCCTTGGCCCCAATGACTACAGAGGCCAATGGGTCCTCCCAAGAGAAGTCCATGTGCTGGGCAAAGGTGGATCAAGGTCTGTGTGCGGCCACATCCCCACACATCTCCCTCTGAGTCTGAGGGTGGTGTACATGATGTGTTCCCATACGTCTCCTGCAGGGTCTGGTGGTTGCACATGTGTTTTCATGTGTTTCTCATAGAATGAGAAGGTGGTACACACACCCTGTTCACACGTGTTTCTTATAGTCTTGTGCTGACATTTTCTGGCTCAGAAGACCGGGTCTTACCCTTGCTGATAAGATATCTCAGGGGTCTAGTTTCGTGCTGTTTGGGAGCAAGAGGAATTGTAGGGCCTCTTTCATGGGAAATCAGGATGTGACAGTTGGGTTTCTTTCCTCCTAGTGTTTTCCTGTGCTGGTTACTCTTCCATAGGAATTGGAGTTTTGGACTCTGTAAATTTGTTAAAATGTACAAGAAGACATACATGGGAAGGGGCTGGAATCCGTGATAGATTTCATCTTTGCAATTGCAGTCTGTGGACATTGAAGTGGATGAGAACGGAACCCTGGACCTGAGCATGCACAAGCACCGCAGGCGGGAGGGCACTGGCCCTGGTCCTGGCAGTGGGAGCAGCAGTGGCAGCCCTGGAGTGAAGTCTCCTGAGGCTTCCCAGCGCCAGAGCAGCACCAACGCCCCTAGCAGCTCCATAACTTCACCCCAGTCCAGCCAGGCCTCGCGTCAGGATGAGTGGGATCGACCCCTGGACTACACCAAGCCCAGCCGCCTGCGAGAGGAGGAGCCGGAGGAGGTGGGTACCTGGAGGGCTGTCACATGGACACAGCCTCTGAGGGCCCCACTCTTTTCCACACAACTCCCAGGCAGTTGGGACTTGGAGTCCTGCCCTCCGGGAAGGTTCCTACTGTAGGGCTGTGCTATAGCCTTGTTCCTTCAAGAAGGAGGTGGTCTTCTCACTTTGTGGAACACAGTGGCCAGCACCAGTGTAGGCACTCTGGAGCCACAGATCTGTTTTAGATCCCAGGAGACATCTGGGGACAAGCTCAGGGCTCCTGGGTTTTGAGCCTCCTATGCGCCTGCCATCTGGGGTAGACAGGGGCTTGGCTGTTGGCTCCTTGGGCTAAGGCAGTGAGAAAACTCCTGACCTAGGGGTCTTGGGCTTTGGATACCCTGTGGTGGGAAGTGGCCTGAGTCCTTGAGACCAGGGCCAACCTGGCAGTGGTGCTGGAGCTGTCATCTGGGGAGCAGTGGAACTTTCATCTCCCAGTTATTCATTAAATCCTGTAATAGAAGAGTCCTTCAGATTCTGACTGATTCCAGGCTTTTCCCCAAGGAGGTGAATGTCCTGAGGAGCAAAGTCCAGCTCTGAGGGCAGCCTAGGGTCCAGTCGGTATTTGTTGCGTTTGTGAGGCCTGCAGATCCCTCTCCCCCTCTGCCCCTTAAGAAGGGAAGGGTTGGCTCGGCGCCTGTGGCTCAAGCGGCTAAGGCGCCAGCCACATACACCTAAGGTGGCGGGTTCGAATCCCCAGCCCAGGCCCACCAAACAACAATGATGGCTGCAACCAAAAAATGGCCAGGCGTTGTGGCGGGCGCCTGTAGTCCCAGCTACTTGGGAGGCTGAGGCAGGAGACTCGCTTGAGCCCAAGAGTTGGAGGTTGCTGTGAGCGTGATGCCATGGCACTCTACCCAGGGGGATAGCTTGAGGCTCTGTCTCAAAAAAAAAAAAAAAAAAAGAAGGGAAGGGTTCATGTGTGGGATGGAGGACAATCCAGGCCACCTCCACAGTTCCTCCCTCCTGTGAACGTCATGCCACCCTCAGGTAGAGTATGTGGTCACCCCATTTTATGGAAGAGAAGACCAGGCCCCCGGGTCAGGTCAAGAGGCCTAGCCACTGGCTCCCCTCAGGTGTCAGGGCCCAGGAGGGGTCCAGACCAAGCCCAGAATGGAGGAGGTCTCACCCGGAGCCATGTCTGCCTGAGACTGTGGAGGTCGGTTTCTCCCAGGCTGGCATAAGTCCTGCTTGAGGCGGGGGTGCTCTCTTACACAGGGCTTCCTGAGTTGTGCCTCCATTGTCTTTGGACCTAGAGGCTTTTGATGTTTACATCCAACTGCCAGGACTGAGCTGCCCACCCTGCCACGTCCTCCTGGTCTGCTGGCTGCACCTCCTCAGCCAACAATTTTCTGGGCTCTGGTGGGTGGGTTGTGCATGCGCTGTGCACCCCCAGCTTAGTCCTGTTCTCCCCAGGGTGCTTCACCCTTTTCTCTGCTTCCTTTTCACATCCTGCCCAGGAATACAGCCATCATCCATGGGGTGAATCAGGCCTCAGACTTCTGAGGTTCTGGCTCTCAGAAGCCTACACTCAGTCCCCATGTAGCAGCTATGGTCCACTTTGCAGCCAGAAGCTTGGGCTAACCCCTGAACCCTGCCCAGAAATGCCTCCTGAATCTGGCCCTTCACCATCCTCCTACTCCTGCCCTGGACTCCTGACTCAGACCCTCCTTCCCACTGTGCCTGAGGCTCTTGCTTTGACCATCTAGCCTCACCTACAACATCCCTGCCCCTGGCAGCAGCTCCCACTCACCATCCTGGATACTCCAGACCCTGCATGTCCCTGGGCCTCTGAGATGTTCTCCCTACATTGGAACACGCCATTCTTTCTGCTTCTGGGAAGCCCCATTTATCCTGAAGACCCAGCTTAATATGTCCTCTGAAGGCTTCCTCCAACTTGCTTGGGTGAATCAGCCATTCTCCCCAAGGCTGTGCCCAGTAGCCAGCAGTAAGAACAGTAGTGCCCATAGCAGCGGCAGGTCTGCTGTGGTTATCTGGGGCCCTTTATGCTGACCATGCATCCTGTGAGCTTTGCCTTGTTTGCTTGCCCCAAAGCCTGTTAGGACCGCTATTATCTTGAGTTTGGGAGTGTGGTGCCTAGGCCCCACGACGCTGAACCACTTGCCTGGGACACACAGTAAGTACTACCAGGATTGGAATTTTGACTTCTATGACAGCTGTCCCACAGAGCACCAGCCTTTCTGACCCTTCCTGGACCTCTGTCCCCTTGCAGGAGGCCCTGTGCTCACTCGCCCTGCTTCTTTTGCGCTGTGCCTATGTGTAGTGAATGGATGCCCTCCAGACCCAGCATTCAGTTTGAAGCATTTATTAGGTGCCTACTGTGGGCAGGGCATCACATTGTGGGGGGTGTCAGGCTAGGTGGCCTCAAGGTCACTGTGATGACTGTGCTGTGTGTTGTCGCTATGGCTGTGCATCTTACCTCCCCCCTAGCAGCACTTTCTTAATGCCTGTGGTCTGTTGAGCACTGTCCCTGGCTGTGAAAGGAGCTGGCTCCTTGTGTTTACTTGGTGGGGTGGTCCAAGCTGTAAGGTCATTAATCCTGCTGTGCTGAGCCCAGTCAGGCTTCCTTGTTTTGGGGGCAGCTCAGGGGGTCTGGCTGAAGTGTGGAGGAACCCAGCCCTCAGGTGTTGCCCCTGTGTCCTGTTGTGTCAAGTTGTCTTCCTTCCTTGCCCAGAAGACAGGAGACTCCATGAAATGCCTTTGTGCCACTGTTCTGAAGGGTCCCTCCGCCTTGCCCACCGGGTTGGGAGCCCGGGCTTTCCCGCCAGCTGGTTAAAACATCTCCCTGCTGGTTTTTTGCAGTCAGAGCCAGCAGCCCATTCTTTTGCTTCTTCTGAAGCAGATGACCAGGAAGTGTCGGAAGAGAGTTTTGAGGAGCGGAAGTACCCGGGGGAAGTCACCCTGACCAACTTTAAGTTGAAGTTTCTCTCCAAGGACATAAAGAAAGAGCTGCTCACGTAAGTCCCTGTCTGTGCTGGTGTAGTTCCTAGGAGACCCTCTGTTATCTGGGAAAGGACAGGTGCTCAGCTAACCCATGATGACCAGGTCAGCTCAGTCCGGACCTTTCCCTGCTTTGTCCTGATCTCCTGGAGCCAGGCAACTCACCACAGGTGACAGGTTTCTTGTCATTTCTGTGCCACACTGGACTTTAACATGATTCTCTAAAAGTGACCAAGAGTAGGAAGAGCCCCTTAGCCCAGCTCATACACCAGGACAAAGCAGAATAGGTAAGAGCTGAGGAGAAATGAGCAGAGAGCTCTGCATTATGCCTCAGGGCAGCCAGAGGTCAGGCCCTTTCCCTGAGGTTGCAGCTGGGTGCTTTCTGCCCTGGCTCAGTGCCTGAAGGCCTGACCTGTCTGGACATCATCCTCGGCTCTGGCAGCCTGCTGGGTCCAATGCTGCCCTCTGAGTTCATCCTCTGGGGGAAAAAGACAGAGCTGCTGCCAGGCACCTGATCATACCCCTTGCCAACCATCTGTCCTAGACCAAGAAGCTACACAGGCACCTGCACCCCAGGGGACCCAGATGCATGTGTGCTCGTTCCTAGGGTCCCTCCTCTCCCTGCTTGGAGCCCCACATTTCCTCATGTCTTGGCCCTCACCCTCCAGGATGGCTGGGTCCTGGCTCTGGGGCAGAGTGTCTTCCTCAAGGAAGGCTTGGATGCTCCCAGGCCTAGAGAAGGAAAGGAGCTCACCGTCTGTATGTCTATAGGTGCATGCGTGCACACATGTGAGGACATATGCTTCAGAGCTATTCCAGCCTTATCCTCAACTTTAATTTGGCTGCTTTTTCCTTCTTGAGTTAAATTATGTGGGAGAAACTTCCAGTCTGTGCTTTAAGGACTAAGGGTGGAGGAACTGCTACTTGGCCCTGAGTGGGCCAGGGATAGGTACTAGCCACCCCCCTAGCAGACTCAGTCCGGGCGGGTCTGCAGGTATGTGTTGCTCTGTTCTGACACTCTGTTTCCTTTGTCCAGCTGTCCCACCCCAGGCTGTGACGGTAGTGGCCACATCACCGGGAACTATGCCTCCCACCGCAGGTTTGTCCCCTGCTTGAGTCTGGCCTGGCCTGGGTGCTCCGTGGTGGGTCTTCCTCCTCTCTGCTTCTGCTTCCCCTCTTTGGTTTACCCTGATGTCCCATCTCTTCTCTTTCAGCCTCTCTGGTTGCCCTCTTGCTGACAAGAGCCTCAGAAACCTCATGGCTGCTCACTCTGCTGACCTCAAGTATGTCTGCGCTCCCGGCCTCCTGTCTCTGGGGCAGCACTCTAGCTTTGCGCTCTCTTTCCTTGTGGCTCCTGCCAAAATCGGCCTCTCCCAAGTGCCAATCCCAGGCTGGTCCCATTCTCCTGGGATGGGGTGGAGTGGCAGGGCTGGAGGGGCCGTTCTTGCTTGGCTGGTGCTGCTGGGCCCCTGTTTTGGGCACTGCTGCCTGCCCCTCCCTGGGTCCCTGCTCTGGGCACTGCTCTGCTGTCTGCTCCTCCCTGGGCCAGGGCTGCTGCAGGCCCCTGAGCTACTCTCACCCCAACTCTCACCCACCAGCCTCTCCTGAAGACCCCAGCAGGGCAGTCTGGGCCTGCTTTCCTCCTTGCCCTGGAAATTCTGCAAAAACCTAGATTTGACTGTGGCTTGTAAGTCTTGCCATGGCTCAGTGAGTTGTAGGTGATATGGCTGCTGTAGGTGGCGTGACTGCTGCGGAATGATCTAGATGTGCTGGTGGTGGAGAGGAAGCTCTTCCTCTCTTTCATCCTGTGATTTCCAGCTGCCACAGCTTTGGCCCTGGTGGCCTCCCAGACACGTTCTGCTCCATGGCCATTGTGCCTTCTCTTTGCTAGACTCAACCCTTCACTTCAGCACCTCCCTGCCCCAAGGCATGGCAGGGTAGGCCTGCGGGCCCCAGCTAGCTTGCTTGACTGTCCTGCACAGTCAGGCAGAAGCACCCAGAGGGTTTCAGGCATCAGTGTCCTCTGGGGCTGGAGTCAGGGACTGCTGCTGCCTTTGGCTTTCATTCCCTCCATTGGGCTGTCATCTCACATCATAGCCTGTGTGACCCTGAGCTGAATTCTGGGGTTATGCTGAGGTCCCACTCTTGTCTCCTCAGGTCATCCTCTTCAGGGCTGTCCCTCCCAGCTGTGGCTTCTGTATTGGGGGTCTATGAATCTAGGCCAAAGCTCCTTGGCACATTTTGTTTGGGGCCCGACAGGAGTCAGGCACTGGTGCCTCTAAGATGAAGAAAACTTCTGAGTGCAGTGGCTCAGCCTGTGACTTCAGCACTCTGGGAGGCTAGATGGGTGATTGCTTGTGCTCAAGAGTTAGAGACCAGCCTGAGCAAGAGCGAGACCCTGTCACTACTAAAAACGAGCTGGATGAGATGGTGGGCACCTGTAGTCCCAGCTACTCAGGAGGTTGAGGCAGGAGGATCGCTTGAGCTCAGGATTTCAGGTTTGCTGTGAGCTATGATGCAACGGTACTCCACCCAGGGTGACAGAGTGAGACTCTGTATCAAAAAAAAA